AAATTCACCATTATAGAAAAAAATGAATCAAAAGCAAAAATTACCGTGCGGGTTGAAAAAAAATTTTAAATTTACAATGATTTATAGGGAGAAAATGTTTAATCGGCTTGATACAATAGCTCAGTGGATATACATGTAGCTGTGAAATTGTATTGCAAAGTTTTGATTCCTTGTAAAGACAAATTTTTCTCATCCTCTGACATTCGAGATCCAACAAGGGACATCAGAATGGATGGCTAGTCCAACTAATTGTACTGCGCGACGAGATATTGTGCTATTTTCGTGTCTGGGCAATATCTCGCCTCTCTCAGAATCAAGCTTTTGCACATCAATATATTTTGACTAAATGGATGGCATACAGCCCAGAGTGAATGTGAAAAGTTATCTGTACACAGAACAAATTCTTGGTCAGAAATATCCTTCTAGATAAAAGATAGATACTGCCCATGCATAAAATAACACAAAGTTTATATTTGTTCTATAAATTTGTGTTTTTGGTTGACTGACCTATTCAGTAAACAAAACAAAATTAATGAAACAAAAAAGTTTTATCACACAAATTGATCTATGATATATTTAATAAATAAATGTATTTTATTATTTTAAATGTCTTTCCATCATTGTCACAACAATATTATAATAAATAGACTATTAAATCTATCAAGACAATGACATGAAGAAAAGAACACAACCTGGCATACTCAGTATCATCTTTAGGCATGCATTTATCATTTATTATGAACGTATTTCTTTATACCTCTCTCCATTCTGTTATATCTGTACCGATTTATGGTTTCTTACAGCGTCAGAATAATAAAAACAACTTTCTCAGAAAGACATATTTGTATCAAAATTGACGAGTAGAACTGTACCATCACACCGACGGAAATGAGTTTTGACATGCGCGTAGCACCTGTTTCCGGCTAATTAACATTGTTTTCTTAATTAATTTGAAGCAATTAAAGTTTAAAAAACACCGCAGATCAAGTCATATGCATGAATTGTGGATATTGCATGGTTCCAACTTACAATAAGTGATATATTCGGCTCTGTTGCGGACCTGACAACAGCGGCAGAATCAAGATGGCGGATTTTGACAGTTTGTGCAAAGTTTAATTTTTTATAAACATGTAGTGATGTACACAGACTTGCAGGAGAGTGTGTCATAAGAGACGAAACGACTAGAAAATGGCCGAAAGGTGAGTTAACGAGGGCATATATTGAACCTTTTAAAGGGTAATGGTGATCGTTGAGCGGTTTTGAAGATTTGTAGAACTAGACTAGTAGAGGGTGTCTAAACTCAAATAAATTTGATATCTACAGCCAATTTCTTACACATATAAGATACCCATATATAAATGTAGACTTGGTCAAATAATATGAAAAAGGCAAAGCCTCAAAGCGAGCTCGAGTTACTTTTATCGTGAAATAGTATATAATTAAATAATCGTTCAGTTTTATTTTACATTTTCCGTTTTAAAATTGTCATTCGGTATTTTATACACTGCTTCCATTTATTCTGGTTCCCTGTCCTATTATGGTTCCCATATAAATGTGCAGGACACCAGTCTAGGCTTCTGTTTTCAATCAGAATACCTCGGTTTTTATCGTTATCTTGTAATTCGAAAAAGTTGCGATGTGTCAATTCGGTACTTCGGACGAAAGTTTTCAAAACCATCACTATCTTGCAGGTACTCACATTACCGTAAATCTCGCTCTTCGAGCGCGCTATTATGTTTATGGCATTTGTTAAGGTTATCAACCAAATTAAAGTTATGATCCGGGAATTCAATGTTCTTCAAATGAAAATTATCAAATTTATTCTTATCTATCTATCTTTGGATACTGCCAACCCCTCTTGCGAGTGTTATATGCAGGAATTAAGTGCACATCGAATTGTTAGTAAAGGTTGGAAGAAGAGTAAAATAGTCCAAGCATTATAAACATGCCAGGAAGCTGAAAATGTATTCTAGTGATATTGACTTAAGTTCATAAGGACACTATCCTCACCAACTAAGTATATTTTATTTACAGTACAGCTTTAACAAATTTTTCGAAAGTCCACCCATTTCTGCGATTTTGATATGGGTGGATTGTCACTGGGACATCCCTGTTGCAGCCAGTTATGATTTTCCGCTCATCACCTGATCGGGTGAAATTCGCGCTGGGCGATATTGTCACTGTGGATCACTGTGAAATATTGCAGGGATATTTTGCTCTCTCGGGTTACCATTTATCAATTTATGACATGCATTTACTTGCATCTATAAAAAATAACACACACAACATTTGTCTCCTATAATTTCTGAATGGCGGATATTTACATGCCTGTTTTAAAAATGTTAAAATATTAAATTGTAAGTTACTGAAATTTATCGCTGATTGTTGAAATTATATTGCCTTTTAAATACACAAAAACACTAGCTTTCAAAGAAGCGTCCATAAATAAATGAAATATAATGTTTCCATCATTAATAAATATAAACACAGAGATGACCTCTGACAAATGACTAGTCAGCTCTTCAAAAGTATCTGTCAATCTTTGATGTTAGCATATATGTGTAGTCCCTGCTGAATCATCAAAGTGCCAACACTCAATTGACTTCTACCCTTTTTTTATAGATCAGGAAAAAAAGCTGTCATCTTTTTTGTAGAAACGATTACACATGTTTAATTATTGCACAAAAGGAAAAAAAATGTTGAATAATTATCATGTCAATTATTGATATATTATTTATTGCAAGTGCATTTTGATTGTGATATTTTTTTTACATTTTTAATACAAATGGAACTTCACAACTTCTGATTTTTATACATATACAGATGATGTTAAGGCTGTTATTAAAGCAATAGATAAGTGATACAAATGTATTTTTTTTCTAACAAGACTACATTGTATATGTACATGAACATTTATATGCAATAAAAAGTGTTCATCCTGTTCTATAAGGTTAAAGGTTAGTCTCTACCCTCACATGAAACTTTGTAATATCTTTGTGAGTGTACTTAAAGGTCACTATCAAATACCTGCAACTATTGCATGAATTTGAACTGAATTATTGCTCTTAGAACCTTGAAAATTATAACTGTAACATCATGCAGTGTTCAATCTAGAGCGCGCCATTGCACCATTGACCCCCTGAAAAGACCGTCGGCGCAAAACAAATTCAACTGTGGGCCCGATGGGCGCACTCATAGAAAATGCCCTAAATGACATTAGAATGCTTTCTTAAACCTGATTAAGTACATAAAATAAGTTTCTTGTGAATAATATTAATAAATACTGAATTCAAAACTGAAGTTTGTATAGAAAAACAAGAGCATGTTGGTAAGATAGTTACCGCACTCGGTAACCCTTTTAAAACCATGATCGCTACACTCTCTCGGCCGGGGTCTGTAAATACTATGTAGACTTGTTCTTGGTACCGTAACTATTACTTACCTTTGAGTCACAGTTTTTATAAACAAAACAAATCGTCACAGCTAATCCAATACTTGCGTGTAGTTATAGTTTATTCACGGTCAAAACAAATAAATATGTCATAACTTTCTGGTGGAAAAAAACTATATATTTGTGAAAAGTGCGAGTTAATTATAGAGAAGTGTGCATAAATTATTACGATCATGCCTTTATCCAATTAAAAAAGTCTTAATGATGGAGCTAATCAAACATGATTGGCTAGGGAGTGTCTGACAATTGAGTAAATAAACTTTGATTGGTCTTTGGCTGGTCGGCGCTAAAACATTGTGCATATCATTAATAAATACAGACATCTTAAGCGTGACGTAAGAACTGCTGCCCTGACAAAAAATCAAAGGTACCGGTATGTCAATATACATTGTCTTAGCACCTGTTGACACTCTGTTTTTCGCTTGGATATATTGAGAAGGGTAAATGTTTTTAGCGAAGTTTATAGTCTTCATCAACAAAGCTAATTGGGAAATATGATTTTCTTTTATATATCGGGCGCTGATTAAAAAACTGAACATTATTATCAAATATCCCTGGTAACATTAAAATAAGATTCATATGTTTCTTTGAAAATTATGTCATCGTTTCTTTACCAATCAGTTCTTAAAATTGAGCCTGTATCAATGCTAACAGAACTCTCAAAAAAGGTCAAAATAATGTCATTTTTTTAGTGAGTTGATTATTTTGGAATTTTGCAACCGTTTTTGGTCTATATATGGTACATGAACAACTAACTTAAAAGATACAATACCTTATTTGAATTTGATGTTCTTTTAAGTGTGGGCCCCCTTTTTTCTCAAATGACCCCCTTTTGAAAAGTTTATGGGCCCGAAGGGCCCCCTGGGAATTTGTTCTAGATTGAACACTGAACATGGATTTATTAATGAAATCTTCCCCTAAGATTGACATAATTATTTCACTTTCTGTTCAAGCAGTGCTAAAAGAACACAAGCTAATTGGCCTTTAGCTATTGGAATGACAGTTTGCATTAAAGGTAATTGTGACATACATGTATATCACCAGTTAAATAATATATATATATTGTAATAATGGGTCATCGTCATAGATAGTTCCTGACTTGCTTCAAGTCTATTTTCCTGATGCTAGAAAGTATATTTTTGTTACATAAGTCATTACTAAAGAATATGCTATTGTGTTGTAAATGAATTCGAAAACAACAATGTCCACAATAAACCCAATGTGTAAAATAATCATGCTTGACACTGTGACAGCAAGGTGTTGGTTATTAATCCAAAAATGAACTACTTCATACAATATCATATATCCATTATCCAATATTATTTCAGCATTAGTAAGTGAGGTACTGTTGATTTGATAGTTAAACCAAGGGTCAGCCCCCTTTTTAGCTCGACTTTTCTATGAAAAGGGGAGCTATCCTACTCGCCCCGGCGTCGGCGTTGGCGTCACACCTTGGTTAAGTTTTTTGTACCACCCCACTTTATTTCAGAAGTATTACAAGTATGGCTTTGAAACTTACCATACTTGTTCACCATCATTATAACCTCCATCTACAGACAAGAGTACATAACTCTGTCAAGGTTTTTGACAGAATTATGGCCCTTTTTTGACTTAGAAAGTGTATTGAGCTTGGTTAAGTTTTTTGTACCACCTCACTTTATTTCAAAACCATTGGAGGTATTGCTTTGAAACTGACCATACTTGTTTACCATCACGACCTTCATCAACAGACAAGAGGACATAACTCTGTCAAGGTTTTTGACAGAATTATGCCCCTTTTTGACTTAGAAAATACATTGAATATGGGTAAAATCCACTTATTGCCTTAACCCTTTGAGATATTGCTTTGAAACTTTTAATGCTATTTCACATCATTACCCCCATCTGTACGCAAGAGAAGGTAACTCTGTCAAGGATTTGTTTTAAAAATTAAGGCCTTTTATCGACTTAGAATCTTGGTTAAGTTTTTAGTACCAGTCCACTTTTTGACTGAACTGTTTGAGATATTAATTTGAAAGTTGGAATACTTGTTTACAATCATGATTCCCAAACATGTCCAGGAGAAGGTAATTCTGTCAAAGATTTTATTTGAATTATGGCCCTTAACTGTCAATGTTTTTGTATTATAGGCAAGCACTAAAAAACTTAAAAAATCTAAAAAAATTCATTCCTATCCACTTGTTCACTTTACCATAAATTATGTCATATAAACATTGCTGTAATATTCAAGGGTATCAAACAACTAGTTCACTTTAAAAATACAGAGATTCTTGTATTGCCTTTTACTGCAAAAACTTTTTTTATTGGCAAGCAATAAAAAAGTCGAGCGCGCTGTCTTACGGACAGCTCTTGTTCTTAAAGGAATAAGAATGGATGGATTGATGTCTATCTAATATAAATATTCATCATTTAAAAAGAGGAACCATGACAGTTTTCCTATTGGCATCAACCCTATAAGAGAGAAATTCGTGTTTAAAGACACTATTTTTTACTTGAGATATAAGTTCATGGGCGCCGCCATTTTGGCGTTCTGTCATTCTCGCGAGACAGACGAGACCGAGATTGTGACGTGTTATACCCACTTCCGGTATAGGTGTAAACGCTGGTACAACTGAAATATATCTTGATGAAGAACTTATTAATTTTATTGCATACATTATATATTATTTATGAAAACATCATATGGAACTGAATTGCTTTAATTAATTAATTGAAGACGCCGCGACATTAATTATCATTTGTTCGATA